CTTTCCCTTTTTGGTTCGCAGTTGCGCAATCTTCCCCGTGCTTTGAACGGTCTCGTTTCACCGTCTGCTCCGCTCCTTGGAGCAGATTTATTCTATTTATTCGCTCAACCTCGAGGGAAGTCGGCCGATTACGTCGAAATTCCTTCTCCAAAGCCCTCCGAACCGACCCCTTTCCAATCTCTCTCTCTCTCTCTCTCTCTCTCTCTCCCTCTCCCCCCCTCTCTCTCTCTCTCTCTCTCTGTCTCTCTGTCTTTCTCTCTCTTTCTCTTTCCTCTAGCCCAGCTTCGAGTGTTTACTCGCGTGTTCGAGTTCTGTCAGTATCACACGCTCTCCGCCAAACAAATCGATCGTCTCCTATCGCCGCCTCTTTTCGCCGATTTTCGCCCGCCTTTCGACTCGACCGATCCCCAGGGACTATGAAGCTTCTATGAGAGAGCCGAGGAAACAGGGAGTTGGAAGATCAACTTGAAGCATGAACAACTTGAACTATTTATCCAAGGTATTACTATAAGTATATCAATGTTTTCTTGCATATCTAACAAGGATTTAACATAAATAAAACGACAAACTTTTAGGTGTACTTACATGTCCAAGGATCGGCCACGTTGAACGACCGGCTTAGGTACGAAGTTCTCGTCGCCTAGTGCGAGGAGGATCGGCTTGGCAACCGATGGAGTCGCGCGTGTGTACGACCTTTGACACAACGTGCACGTTTATCCGGGCCTCACAGTCGCGTCTTCCCTTTTATTGCGGCGTCGCACATCCTCATCTTGTCGTCACTTGCCCATGCAGAAATTCTTCTTCACTTTCCACCAAAAACCCCAAGAATGTTCGCTCGTTGCACGACAATATAGAATATACTTTGAATTCTGCTTCAAAGTTGATTAATCAGTGAAGAGCCGAAAACGTCAACCAAGAAGACCAGGGTGTCGCGTTCCAAGCCAGCCCCCTCTGCTTCCCACGATCAGCCTTATTCGCCGCTGCGTCGAGACACGAGAAAACAGAGGGTGGAAGGGTGGCAAGACCACGATGAAAGGCAGGTCAGTGCGTCGCTGGAGGATGCAACCTGCCAAGGCTAGTCACGCTGCCCAAAGTACAATATCCTACACCGGAAGCAGTCAATCACACACACGAACCTCGTCGATAAGAATGACAAACCAGATGTAGATATTAGTTCACTTTGAACACGATGAATGACGAAAGCACCGAGAAGAACGGAGCAGAAGACGAACGAGCGTACGAACGAGGCGGCTGAAAGCACCGGAGAAAGAGTAGGAGTAGTGCGAAGAAGCAACGGCGAAGAGGGGTGTACCAAGCGATGGTCCAAGGTGGGGGAACGATTTGGGTGGCGGGCGACGACTGGGGGTGGCTCTGAAGCCCGGTGGTTGTGCTCTTGCTCTTGCTTCCCTGCCTGCCTGTTTGCCTGCCTGCCTGCTTCCCGGCCTACTTGCCTGCCTGCCAGCCTGCCTATCTGCCAGTCTGCTTTCCCTGCCTGAAGGCTTGCCTGGCTGTCTGGCTACTTGCTCGCCAGCTAGCCCGCTTTTGCTCGCCTCGCCTTTGCCACTCTGCCTCAACTCTGTCTGTTTCGGTTACGCTCGTCCTCTCTTTTTCTCCCTGTCCCTCTCTCTTTGTCTGAGTGTGTCTCTTTGGTTGCGCAGGACCCGCCGCGCGACCCGGCCAAACCCAGAACCCGGCGTGTAGGTACCGCGGGCTCGCATTCGAGCTCCAGCCACCCCAGCTGCTCTATCCCCACCAGACCAGTCAACCCCCTTGGTCAGTGATGTGCCAAGCGGTCTCTGGGCCACGCTGGAACGTAAATTGAAGAATTTCTGTGTTCTTGCATACTTTAGGGATTGCCTTAGTTGCTTACCTGAAAATTCGATACCCTAGTTACTTTCAATTCCTAGGGAGCTGCAACAATTTATAACTATTAACTTGACATGACTATAATGGACTAGTAATTATAAAAAATTTGTATGAATTTTTTAGAGAAGTATTTTATAAATTTATTAGATTTAGGTTTAAAGACAAGATCTTAGAATACTAAAGTACGTCGTAAAAAGAGAACAATTTAATGGTGAATCTATGATTTACCTTTAAGTGCGGCAAATGATAAAGGGCGGAGGTGAGTGAACGATTAACGGCGGGGTAGCGACGATAGACTCGTATTGCAGCGGGGAATATTAGTAAAATTTTATTTCGGGCACTCGAAAACCGGCTATTACACCCTCGGAGAAAAAGAAATGGTTGAGGCTGCTCAAGGAGAAGACGTTGCTCGTCCTACTTTTCCTCCTCGCCACTTCTGTGCTCCCCGTTAGTTCTTGTTTCTCGCCAGCTGAACGCTTCCCCTCTCGAATAGCCTGCAATCAAATACGTGCACGTAAATGGACCGTTTCCAGCCAAACCGAGAATTTTAGGCCATTGGAGGCAAGCGTTGGTGAAGGTAATTAAAAAAAAAACTGCAACACCATCGATATTCAAGCGAATTGGCAAGTATCCGACGCATAAATTCAGTTGACAAGAGAGAAAGGAGACACGACTTTCTTCTGGTTGATTAATTAAGAAGAATAATCGTCCGGTTGAGAGGATAACAATTACCGATATCAAAACGACGTTGATAAAGCATCGTTAAACGATTCGAGCGGGAATTATCGATTGCGACTCGCGGCAGTTCGCTTCTCTTGAATTAGTTAGACAACAAGCCACAAAGCTGGGCCTCCCTCTGCCTCGACACTCTTCCCTCCCTCCCTCCATCCCTATTCCATCTGTGATGCTAAGTAATTGCTACGTCATAAACGAAATGTTACTTGTATAAAGAAGTCGTTACCAGAAATGACCTGATCCGATGGACAGGAATGTCGTCATGATTCGAATCGCGATTTGCAACATTAAACTCTTATGTCGAGTCAACGAAATTCCAAAATTGTATACATAATTCTATTGTATAATTCACTGTCATTATTTTACAAAAGTAAATATTAAAACCGATAAGTAATTTCTCTTTGAAAAATAAATTGATTTTCTAAAATTTAGAAAGAGCTGTAATCTAATAGCAGTTTAGTGACTTTAACTCGTGATAATAACCTATAGTCTATAACGAATGTCAAACGACAGTGGTACTATAAAATAGAATTATCGATAAAAATATCCTCGAGGATAGCCGTTTCAAAAACTGCCATTGCATTACACATTTTTGTGTACATAGTGAAATAGTTGAAAAAGACAGACAGAAAATCTTAACAAACCGGTGTTTACACGCAGACAAAAGATATCTGTCACTGTTTCAGCCGTTTCATAATTTATCGCGTGGAGGAGCGGAGTTAACGCGAGGGCTGGCTGTCATTTCACTTGCGACAATACCGCGAGATTGTCCCGTCTCGAAGAGACCACGTAATGATACTAAATTTCTGGCGTCGTGGCTAGCACTCGGAGCATGCCAGTGTTTTTAGAAACCTCCATTTAAAGTATCCGCGAAGCGTGCGGTCGTGCGAAGTCCAGACTGTCTTCTTAATTGCGCGTCGATGCTTCAGAATGTAAATCTTGCTACAGGATGGGTAGTCTTTTGTATGGGTTCCAATATCACTTTACTGCTTTAGATAGAAACAATGCATAGTATATGTTTATAAATGGAAAAAAATTTCATTTATCATAACTTAACCTCCATTTCTCCTTGATTATGATTTAAAGATTGATGACCCTTCTTTTCATACCCTAAAATAAAAGACATTTTATTCTGTACATTGAAGAAAATGAAAAATTAAAAATATATTACAGGAAAATTAAAATGTTGAATTAAATTCAAAACTGGTTTGCTCGACAGTCGTCAGTCACTTAAAGTGGTCCTAGGCTCTTGAGTGCCGCCTTACGGCACTAACGACAACGCCAGTCCCCTCCAAACACCGATTCCACCCCTTATGCTCCCCTCTCCAGGTCAAGCTCCGCGATCAGCATCGAGCCGCACCACCGTATACCTATTCCAGCGTGCCGTGCTCACTCGATGAGTTGGACGAAACGCCTAAGTTTCCACATCGAACACCTATTACTTACTGTTTCTTTCGTTCAATTACAACGATCTATATCATCCTAAACAAACAAAAGAGGGTAATACGTCATTCAATAATTTTTTTACCTTCCATGGAATTTTCTAATTTATAAACAAGAAAAGGTACTTTGTTATCTTAATCCTTTAAAAAAGAACATTCTCTAGAACATTTTCCAGAAATATTCAGAAGGTTAAGATGGCATTTTTCACCAAGGGAGACTCAACATTTAAGACATGATTGACACACTCCACTTCTGCTACGAAATCCTCTTTTTCTTACTTCACTAAAAAGGTTGGTAATCATTCTCTTTCCTTCTACCTTCGTCTCCACATGATCCTGAAGAGACTATCTCGACTAAATTTTCATACTGAATATTTTACAAAGATTTGAGAAGCTTCTAGGTAAGATTATATTATTATTATTATAATTTACATAGATTACATTATTATAAATAATTTGTAAAAATTTCTATCAGAATTCGACTCATTCCTATATTTTTCTAAACTTTTAGTCAGATTTTTAAAGAACTTTTTGCAAAATATTTTTTTTAGTGAAAATAGTTACAACGAAAGGGATGACAAAGGATTTTACAGTTCTCACAGATTTAACCTGACACATTGTTTGCATGATAGTGCTCCTAACTCGACATGCATGTAATTCAAAATAGATGTTTTGTATTTCTGCATCAACTTCGAAAAAACCACTCCCGATTATTAAATTCCACATATTTTTGAGTCATTTCTACTGGTAGTATTTAAACAAAATTGGAAATGTTAAAGAAAATGTTTGGCTAAGAAGGTTTGGCTATATAACGAAACGACAAATTAACAAGAGCTAAGAATCTGATCACTCGTTACCTCCTTATCATTAAAGCCACGGTGTCATATTTTCTTTGCAGAAGCTCAGGTACCCCCAGTGTTTCGCAAACTACCCTCAGTCTCTTTCGTTAGAAGCATGCTACCTTCTTCTTTCCCTCCCACCGTTCGATCTCAAGACTAGGGGAAAAAGAAAAAGCCTAGAAACGAAGCAGACGATTTTTCAATCAATCTAATCCCATAAACGATACGTTGGTTGGTATATAAAGTGGAGGATACGCATGAAGATCTGTGTTGCGATAATTAACTAAGGATTGAAGGTTTCCAGAAGCATCGTTTCACTTGAAAACTAATCCTTTAACATTTTATATTCAAGCACGATACAATGAGACGAATACACGAAACAGAAAATCGATACATCGCTACCGATACAAAAATACTTAAAGAAATACTTAATATTAAAAAATGGAGAACATTTTTTGGAGACCATAGACATCCATCACAGCTTTCTCCAGCGTGCTTCAATTTCTAAGTATCACGGGATCCTGCTGAGCTGCCCCTATAGCAGAAAACTAATCGATAAGCCGACAGGAATCGGGCAAGAAATATTCGCGTGAAACACGCTATTTTAAACGCCGACTAAATTACCGAAGCGCGTGAGAAAACGAAGTGGCGGATTTCTTTTTACCTTTTTTTTTTTTTTTTTACTTTGAATTACGACGTGGTTCGTTGCAAGACGAACTTAATGTTGACGTTGAAGAACTCCGTCCTTGCCACTGCGAGCGATCTTGGCTCTATTTTCAGCTCAACTCTGAATCTTAATGAGCGTTACAATCATGCTACCGGAGTAGGCAGAGCTTTGGGATTTCTGGCGAGGTTCTTGGACAATTTTAAGAATCCTTCCACGCACAGCACGCTATATTTCAACTCCATAATTCGATTTCTCCTGCCAAGGGCTATTTATAAAGTTCGTCATATGTTTATAGAGTTATTGTGAATAAAGCTTTTGAAAAATGAGACTAATGCAAAAATAACGTAATGAATAATTTTTAACTTGTATAAAATGTTCATGGAACAATATGTATAAGTGGAGTATACAGTTTTTAATAGTCTTTCCTCAATGTTTGAACTTGGAGTTACATTTCTTTTGTGTCGTTCTGTACAGGAGCTATTTTTGAATTAACCCTTTGTCTTAACACTTAAGTTCCGATGGCCCGTGCAATAGTCAACAGCTGCCTCGGTCACACGTTGAGGAATGTCGTCTGAATACGTCGAAGAATAACACGTAACTGAGACAAAAGGACATCGGTGAAAATTGGTCATGAGCTTGATCCGTGATGTTTATGTTCGGCCCTATTTACAAACCACGTCTTTCGTCCGTGATATTTATATTTAGCCCGATTTCCTTACCATGAGTCTCACACGATATTGTAGGCCACGAGATTAATGAAGAAAACATTAAAACTAAATAATATAATGATAAAGATACAATCTTGAGTCTTCTCTTTCGCGACCTTGAATAGCTATCTTGAAAATTGATTTCGTTCCTCAAAAATAAACCATATTTTCATTTTTTAATTCTATATGCAATACTAATATTCCGGTAATCAGTTTGATTGCAATCACTTTAGTAAGACCGTTTCTCCCATCCTATGTTTAAAAAACGGACGAGAAATGATTTACTTCCTTCGTTAGCAATGGTACATAATAAATGGTACAACCAAACAGCAGATACTCTGGTAATATTAGTGCAACGTTCGTATTCATCCGAAACGAACATTTATTGCACATTACCAGATACAAAACGAAGATAAATATCATCGACTTCACAGAGAGCAAAATTTTTGAACGACTCACACATTTTACCCACCCCTGAATACCATATATCATTTAACGAAAATTGAACAGAGATCATAGATGGTCAGAAACACGTGGAAACGTTCAAATATCCTAGAACATGTACAAGGAAAGATTCATGCTCGATTGCATGTATCTCGATGGTTAGAGATTGAAACGTTGCCGCGAGAAGAATCGCTTGGATTTATGGCCAATCGAAGTGGCTTCGTGCTTCTTTCTTTCTCCTCTTCTTTTACTTTTTTTCTTGTTTCCTTTCTGTTCTTGTATCGACATTGGTACAACCCGGCGCAGAGTACACTTCTTTCTTCGAGTGTCTAGACACTTGTATGTCTAAAAGTCCTTGGGAAGTTGAAATCTGTGAAGTTAACGGGAGACTAGCGATAGTATTATATACATACAGGTTAGAGGGGGGGCCTACGTCATAATATGGAATTGAGAAATGATATATTCACCGCACCGAATCTCGTTAAAATCCCTGAGAGAGTCAGAGTAAGGCAGTTCGGTTGTTAGCCTTTCCCTTTCTATGGTCCTAGTTGAATATACATATCTCAATGTTTTATCGATGAAAATGAAGAATACTTAATTCACTTGTATCCAATCTCACACATTAACCAAATGACACTTTGAAAAATAATTTACTTCTGAAATCAAAAATTATTTAATATATTAGTATCAAATTAAGTTAAAAACGTAATTCAACATCTCTTTATTTTAATTCTTAATTTTTAATTAAAAAGGTATTGAATTTCTTACTACTTAGGTATTTAAGTTGTATAGATCAAATACCATGGCACTTCCATTATAATGATTGAAATCAAAATGGAAAACAGTCGATTTCCCAACATAGATTTACCAGGAGATTAGCAATGCAAGAGTTAACGTTAGCGCGAAGATTAGATACACTGTGCAAAGATGTAGTTAAACGAAGGAGGAGAAGGTCTAGTGCCGCTGATATACTAATTGAATTAGTTATTTCGAAGCAGAAAGTTAAGGGCACGTCTGCGCCAAGTTTTCAAGCTGAAATAACTCGGAGAATCGACGTGCTCGCGAGGGCGCTCGCACACTCACCCTAGAAAGTTCTTATTAAGCTGAAAGTTTCGTTTGATATCGAGTATGAGTATTATTTAATTATCAATTCAAGGGTCCGCTACTTCTTCGACGTTGTTCCTATAAAATAAATCGATCTTATGCAAAACACTAAATGACCGTGAAAAATATAAAATAGATAATTGCTCAATTTTCGAAAATTTATCACGTATGCATAATGTTGTATAGTTTCCTTGATTTTACTTTAATAAATCTGTAAAGAAAGAGAAATACTGAAGTATTACCACAACTTTTTGATCATGATGGAAGAATAAAATCCGTATCATCTGGCTTCGTATGTAATAAAATCTATATTTTATTGTGTACTCGCTATAAAGTTATATTTTGTGGCGGTTCTTAATTTGGTTAAATCTCCATAAAATTTCAAAGTAAAATTTACGCTTCTGTTATTATTAAATTGTAATTCCAATATAATAATTCATAAAGGGATATACTTATACGACAAAATTGATATTTATTAAATTTTATCTAAAAATTAAAGGAAGAAAAATTATTTGACGAATGAATGTTTACTAATGAAGCACGACAGATTGCATAATGAAAGACAAGAAGAAAGCAGAGAAAACTAGTAACATGCCAAACCAGATCCAAATTATCTCACTTGAACGACTTCAATGATTTCACCTTATTTTCAGGGCTACGATACATGCAGACAGCCTCTCCATTCACGACTGTAACAATAATATATAATACATTAACACGTGGAAGCGAAGTAAATTGGGCGCCAACGCAAGGCCGCATTAGTTTTTTGATACATATTCATTAATAGTAATCGAATGATTAATATCCCTGCATATCGTTTAATTTCATTGAATTCCTCTGATATACAAACATTGTTATTAATGCCAATTAATTAGACGAAGGACGCAATTATAGTCGACGAAACGCACTCGGTCGAACTTCACTCGTTCAAGTGGAAATTCCCTACGAAATTACGGAACATGAACGGAAATTGAACAAGGTAACAAGTACCCTGCTTCGGTAAAAGTTATAAAACATTTCAAGCATGAAAGAACAATTAAAATGCAATAAAATATTCTATTACTACAGCATTGCTAAAGATATGTACGTGTTATGCACAATATTTTATATTAGTCGTCATTGATACAAACATTACAATAATCATGGAGTATTATTTCACAATAAATTATCATATAATTTCGATTATTTTTTGAAACATTCTTAGTATACAATAAATAAAACGTAAAAAGAATAGTTGATAACGAAACGTGGAAGAAACAATCTTTTTTTTATTCTAATAATAAAAATAAATAATCCATTTTTTCTGAATTAGATTTTATTTTAAATTTCTTTACAAAAGGATATAATGCTATAAATTCCACATTATCTTATCATAATTCAATCTTCAAATCTAACACACCTTAGGAAGTCTCGATATCGCGAGCATTTTGAAATGCCGAAACAAGAGCATTTAATTGTACTGCTTCACTACAACCAATAGATACTCTTTTTTCTATTTCAGCTAATTTAATTATTAAATCTATGAGAATCAAATCTGGAAATTCAACTAAAGCGAAATAATTAAACTAGCGTCCTTCTTATAACATTTATAAATATAATACATACTTTTATTTACAAACAAATGTAGTTCAGTTAATATATCTTGCAAAGCCAGTCCTTTCTTTAGCTTTATATCTTGTATCTCTGTATAAATATATGTTAAGGAAATTATGATTTAAAGGTCAATAATTAAAATTAGTAGAATAAAAAGGATACTACAATAACATAATTCATATGATTCATTCAACAACCAATTGACAATATTTTTTATATCAACTGGAAGGGGATGTCCAACACAAGAATAAACATTTTCTTCTGTAACTGCACCAAATGCAAGCCATGTACTTTGGAGAACATTTAGAACTTTTCTCATATCTCCACCACTCAGTCTCATTAATGCTTGCTTCCCATCTTCCGAAACATTTAAACTAAAGCATATTTGATGGTGTTATTAATGTGTTATGTTTCAGTGCAATTAAATACTTACTTTTCTTCTTTAATAATAGTATCTAGCCTTGGTAAAATTTGATTTCCAGACAATGGACCAAATCTAAATTTAGTACACCGAGACTGAAGGGCAGGGATAATTTTACTAAGGTAATTACATATAATACAAAACCTTACATTATCTGTATACTTTTCTATTACTGAAAAAATTTGTATGTAGAATATGTCTTTCATGCTTTAAGCAAATCATTAATATTATGACTTACTTCTTCTAAGAGCATTTTGTGCATCATTTGTCATAGCATCAGCTTCATCGAGAATGATTAATTTAAAACCAGACCTATACATTGTACCTGTACTTGCAAAACTAAGAATTTGTCCTCTAACTATACCAATACCTCTATCATCTGAAGCATTCATTTCCAAAACCTATGTGGAAAAAATATTTCTGTACAACATATATATAAATCGCATAAAATAATAATGATATATAATGAAAAATTATACCATTGAATTAAAATGAGCTGGTGTATATAATTTACGAGCACAAGCAAGTATTGTGCTTGTTTTTCCTGTACCAGGTGGTCCATAGAAAAGGAGATGAGGAAGCTGATTCTCATCAATAAATTTATTTACTATAATGAAAAATATTAATTTCGTAAAGATTTAATAATTATATATATTCATAAAAGTATTAAATTGATATAAATACTGACTGGTTTTAATAATTTCTTCGTGAGATATTAAATCATCCAAATTCTTGGGTCGATATTTCTCCACCCTGGAACAAGAAAATAAAAATATAATTTTTCATTACTTTTAAAATACAATTGCATATCAAATGTAACTTTATACCATGGCAAATTAGTAGAGTGAGTAGCTTTTGCTGTCATGATTTATATAGTTTCACTTCTTATGACAAACTTTATAAAAAATAACATGCAAGGTTAGGATCTGTAACTTGGCGCCATTTAACTAATCTGGTTACAAATAGCAAAAACGCGGCATTCTTCTTTTAAATGACACATGCTGATTGGTTCATGACTGTTAAAATGCATTATGGGAAGACAATAATAATTCAAATTATTTTATGTTTAATAAAAAATGAATATGAATTAAAACAAAAAACTAACATTTTTAATTTACAATTTGTATAAAATATTTGTTATGCTAATGAGAAACAAGTCATGAGTAGTTTAGAAATGTGTTATAGAACCCCAGAGTACATACTTCTTATTAAGATTCGATTTAAATTATCTCTAGAAAAGTATCAAAATGATGACAATTTAAAAACTGAATTTCTCGATATAATAAAACGTGGGAATATGACTCGTTACTACGAAGATGCATGCAAAGAATTTAACTGGAAAATTGATAAAGATCTCCTCAACACGATGAAATATGAAAATGAGGTTATATGGCTAGAATTACAATCTTCCGACAATTTGACTCTTGAAAATACAGAAAAAAAAAATTGGAAAGAGAAATTTGAGTTCTTTTGCAGAATTGGTAATCTCGATCATGCCGCAGATATAGCGAATTCGGTTTTGAAAGACGAAACTAATTCATCGAGTATTAAAATTGAAACTGCTTTCGGTTTATTTAGAATTGCATATATAAGAAATAATATCCGTTCGATGGGAAAGGTAATTGCCAAAATAACGACTCTGATGGAAGGATCTCATACATCGGGCAGTAATTGGTGCTGTCGTAATAAATTGAAAGTGTACGAAGCTGTCTATCATCTTGCAACACGAAACTTTAATCGCGCTGCGGTACTTCTGTTAGACTGTATCTCCACTTTTGAATCCTATGAATTATTACCATTCGAAGAAGTCGTAGAATACACAATATTATCAGGGATAATTTCCTTAAATCGATTAGATCTTGATTCTCAATTTAATAACAATGGCCTTCTGCAACAAACATTATTAACAAAGGCTCCCAAATACAGAGAATTTTTTTATTCTCTCTACGATTGTCGTTACAAAGAGTTTTTCGAAAATCTCACCTGGGTAGAGTCTGAACTTAGAGCAAATCCTTTACTTCACTTCCATTATCGTTACTACGTAAGGGAAATGCGTTTAAAAGCATACTCTCAACTATTACAAGCATATAGGACTATTAATTTAAGTAGAATAGCAACTGAATTTGGTGTATCAGAAGAGTTTATAGAACAGGAAATAGCACGTTTTATTGCGAGTGGTAAATTACATTGTAAAATCGATAAAGTAGCTGGAACAATCGTTACCATCAGTGCTGCTGGTTGCATTAGAGGACAAGCTCCTGACGCTTCATGCGATCGAGGATTAATTTATCAAAATACAATAAAAAAAGGTGATGCATTACTTAATAGATTAAAGAAACTCAGCCAAGTTATCAATTATTAATTCTACAATAATTTGTCTTTGTAACATTATAACTGTAAATCATCATAATCAGTGATTATAATTGAAATATGTGTACTACATAATATTTATTGATATTTATTATAATAGCAATAGTATGATGCATATTTTAAATATGTGTTTTGTAATAAATTCGTTGATGTTTTCAAATCAGAATAACTGTTTCGTGTTTTTTCATTAAAGCTATAACCAAAAAAATAGTATCAAACTTATTATCTTCCAGTTTAATAATTATTTATTTTTTAACCTTATTTAGGTACAATTTCGAAAGCTATACAATACATATTCTGGAACATATTTCTTCATTTCATTAATTATTAACAATCTGATAAGATTATGGCCCACAGAGTTTTGATGAGATACCCTTTATCTATCTACAAGGAAACCAAAAAGGTTATACAACATTTCAGTCATCTACTTGTATTGGATTTTGAATGCACTTGTATAAAAGATAATCAAATTGAACCTCAAGAAATTATTGAATTACCTTGTGCTGTAGTGTGTACAAAGAATTGGGAAATAGTAAACACTTTTCATAAGTATATTAAGCCGAGATTCCATCCTCAGCTTACACCATTCTGTATAGACTTGACTGGAATCATGCAAGACATGGTGGATAAAGAGCCTTACTTTCCAGAAGTATTTCAGGAATTTTGTAATTGGTTAAAGAAATACAATTATTCAAGTGAAAATAGTGCATTTGTTACATGTGGAAATTGGGACTTACAATACATGTTGCCATATCAGTGTCAATTAGAAAAAATACAGTTACCAGTACAATATAATAAATGGATAAACTTGAAAAACACTTTTTGTGATGCAACAGAATATTATCCACGAAGTTTAAAAGATATGCTTTCTTATTTAAAACTTCCAATGTATGGAAAATTACATTCTGGCATAGACGATGTTCGGAACATGGTCCAGATAATACAAAGTCTGCAGTCTTTGTACAATATAGAGTTTAAGATAAATAATGTAGATCCTAACATTTTGAAAAAATTGACAAAAATTTAAAATTTATTAAAAATTAATTTATTGATAATAAAAATATTGCGCATATAAAAATTGAAATTACAACATATCTATGTAATAAATATTTTGATAAAAATTAAATCTAAAGTTTTAGTTTATAACCGTTTAACATTCACTCTTATTTGTACATCAAGCTTATTGTTCTCTGTATAAATTTCAAGCACTGCATTGAAATTTCGTTCAATTTTTCGTTTGCATTGGATTTTCAGTTGAAATTCTCTTCTAGTAGGTATCATTCCCTCAGCAGGTACAACACATAAATACTCTGTATTTGATAAGGAAGTTTCAAATGGCTGTGCCACAGTACATGAGTTTTTTACTATTACAATTGCCTCTGTTTTAATTGGTGGATTTAAAACTACAATAGATGGACTGACCATAAAATTGCCGATATTTATGTCGTCCTGAAGTGTATTATTTCCTCCGAAGGTCCTGGTAATTCATTTAATTGAAAGTTTATGAAAACTTATAGTATTTAACATACTGATTACACTTACTCTGAAGGTAGAAAACTTTCTCCATTTCCTTCATATATATGACTGTTGTCGCTACAAAGAGAATAAAACATTTGTGATTCATCAGCATTATCATGAAGAACAGATAGCGTCTCATCGGTACACACTTCCATAGTTAACATTATTTCATGTTGGCGAATACTCCGACAAAGATCTCCGAGATTTTGCTAAATAATACCCGAAATAATAAATAATTTAGTAATCAATTAAATTAGTAAATTTATTATTACTTACCACTGAATCTCGAATGGCACTTATATCTGGCATTAATTGTTCTCCACAAAAAGCTTTACATATTGGATGAATTATGTTTCTAAAAGCTTCGTTTTCATTTCCATTTAACTCACCTGTTTCCTTCATCTTATTGTATAATCTGAAAATTTAATCATAATAAATAACAGAATAATTAGTTATAAACTTAGTATCACTCACCTACGAATTCTCCAACGCGTAGGTTCATCGCCATGAGTAATTAATAACGTTCCAACATGCGATACATCAGACTGTTGCAATAATGCTAAATCTTGTTTTCGTGGATGAAATTCCAGAGTCACCCAGTGAACTTCTCTTGGATTTAGCAATAGCTCGGTTGGATTCACTTGCCAGCTCGATACCATAGTTGGATACACGGCTAAAATTATTAAAAAATAATTTAGAAACCGATCACTCATTTATGGTATAATTTACATAAAATACCTTTTGGTATTAATTTTATTTTAATATAAGAACATAAATCTCCAGTGTTTTGTAATTTGATTTTTGCATTTAAAGAACCCTCAGAATTTAAGATACCAAGTGACAACCACATTTTTCCTCCAGTGTCCTTAAATGCTTCTGAAATTTCAACCTTGCTATAACCCCCATAACCATACAGAAATAGCTGTAAATGATACATTATACATTAATTCAAATATTTACTGATTTACATGAGTTTCAATATTTATTTATAATAAATTTATTTACCACTTTTGCGGGTCGGGATTCAGAATCTTTTCTTTTTGGCTCATAATGTTTGAATATTATTTTTCCAATAGCTGCACCTATATGATGAGGACTAAATACAACAGATAACATCCTACTTTCCAAACCTTGCAAAGCTAATACAATGGTTGTACCAACGGCTTGCCGTTCTCGAAGAAACTGAAAAAATTCCTAATGTTTTTACAAACACAAAATATTAATTTATATCTTATTAGATTAAATATATTACTCGAAAATTCTTTTCACTATCAGATATAGTAGCTTGTATCTTGATCTTGTTGTTACTTGTATTGCGAATGGTGAATTCTTTAATTTCCGACTTCCCGGTTTTCACGCTGCTCCATATCAGAGCAGCATGGGTAGTTCTTATGGGAATTTTGTCTCCAGCAACAGTTGAACCAGACACTGAACTAAGAGGTGAATTTCTACCAGATGTGCCTGATCTAATATTGTATTAAGACACTAACAAGTAAAGCTTCATACAAAGTTAATATGAGACATAAGAATAAATTTACTTGTTTGAAACCACGCTATGTGGGGATGATGGAGAACTAACAGATGGCACATACTGAGGAGTTTCACATCGAGGAAAATTTTCAGTTTCTGCCACAGTATATATACTTGATTCGCCAATGACGGAGTAATGATAGACATTGTTGGCAGCAACTAATTTGATTTTTGTATACCTGTAAATATAAACAAAAATAAATCAAAATAGATTCATGACGTTACATAGAGGTCTATAAAATGCTTCTTCACATTTTGGGGATGCTTGAAGTTTGCTGTCTGTAAGTGACAAGGAAACATCCAGTTTCCTTAGGTTGCACAAGTAAATTTTCTGGTTGTACTAAGAAATATTTCACTTCTTCTGTTGATTCAATTTCTTGAACAAATGAAGCTGAGATTGGCATCGGAATTGTTCCGAGATTAATTATAGTCAATGGTTTGGTTTGTTTGTTAGCAACAACCAAAGGTAGGTCTGTATCAATCACTTGTATCTTACAAGTTCCTACTTGTACAAGAAGTGGAACTTCTTGAATAACTATACTCTCCTCTGAAATATTTCCGGCTTGAATTATTAAAGTACCACTATAACGTTGTAAAGATCGTTGCGTTTCAGTATTCTTTTGCAGAATACCCTTGCAGTGAATATTCATAGTGAGCACTTCTTGAGATTTAAAAGTGATATATTGCAATTCTTCTGAATTTTCTAAATTAAATACTGCTGGTTCATCCTACATTCAATCAAAGAGAAAAAAGGAAAAATAGAAAATTTAAAGAATGAAATTCATGTAAATTCAATTAGATAAAATCATCACCTGTAATATAGAAATTTTAATAGGAACATCGACATTATTTTTATTTTTTATCGTGATAGGTAAAACTGCCATGCTATTTTCGACAATGCACTGAAAATCTAGTTCTTTTTTCTGAGAGGGATTTAGTACAGTTATATCGATTTTTTCAGGTTTGAAACAAATGATATGTTTCATAGTCCATTCAGATCTCGTTACCATATCTGACACTGTTATAGTTAAGACTGCGATGATTGGTTTACTCATATTTATTACTGTTACTGTAATCTAAAATAATTTTATTTTAATGTTTAGATTAATGTACAATTTGTATCTTCCTTTTACCTTAGCATTCTGCTCTGCATTTGGTTTAATAAGAATAACATCTTTCGGTAATATGAGCTGAACATTGTGCTTGTCTCCTTGAACTTGACTTACATTTAATGCACAAATGACCCATCTATCACTCTTATTTAAAAGTTCAATATTAGCCTCTCTAGATATACCGACGATACAACTACATAGTTCTTCTGTACTTTTACCAATGATAACATCTAAAAAAAATAAAAATTAATAAAAAAAAAAAAAAAAGGCAAGTCTAAAGATGATATACTCATTGTTATATCATACTGTTAGTATAAGATTGAGTCGCTTGTAAATTTGGTAGGTCTTGTATAGAAGTTTCTGATTTATCTTTATATGAAATATTTTCCTTTTTTATATTTTCTTTTTCTGCTATTTCTTCTTTTTTGAAATCGACAGATTTTTTTTCGTGACTGATCATTGTGTTAATATTTGACGTTTGATGCGATATTTTGTTTTCTATATAATTTGGAAGAGTTAATTTAGAACTTTCTAACAATGATTTAAAATCTAAAATTAATAAAATATTTAAAATTAAATAAGCATGAAGAGAATTTCAAGCTTTTTGGTCAGTTGAATAAGACTTGATATTTTCAAGAATAAAATTGTACCTTCATTGTATGAAGATGGCAAATTTCCATTACTTATTTCTTTTTTAAGTTCTTGACAAGGAATCTCAAAATTTGTTTTTGCACCTGAGTTAGAGTCAAACGATAACATTTTTGGAACAGTGTGCTTAACATCTATAGTTTCATTAGTCATTTTACTATCAAGAGATAATTTTGTTGAAAGGTTTAATAGTCCCATATCTTTTTCGAAATTATCGATACTTCTACTTGAAGTAATCGGCATAGATTTTCTATTTGAAGGCATTAATGTGTAAGTATCTCTAACTGGATCCTCTTCTTGTATTGGCGCAGGTTTTCTCTTTTTTTTTGCCATGATAAGCTGATCCACCAATCTTCGTGGTGTACCATTATCAATATCCTGTAATGCTTGAGCAATACTAGTCAAACTCATAATACTTTGCTCTTCTATATCTTTTGTTGTATTTGGAATATTTTGAGTTTTATCTTTAACAGTACTGGATCCAACTGAAACTTCTATAAAAAGGAAGGAATTTTAAAATAAAAGAGAATATATAAAGAATGCTTTATAATAAATACAAATAATACCTTCTACAGTAGAATCGACCAGAGGTATAAGCTGACTTTTCTTTTTCGGACTATTTACAGATATACCTAAACTCGGCCTTTCTATCGCAGTATCTGATAATTCTCCAAAATTTCCGCATTTTCTTCTAAAGAATTCACTCACTGATACCTTGCGCCCAGCACACGATCTAAAATTTAATTATATTATATTTCATGCAAAATATTTATAATTTTATACTTACTCTACTGATAAGTCTAGTTCACCAATGATACCAGAGAAACAGGATAAGTTTAAGTACTCTTTTTCATTAGAAGTTGTGGTAGGAAGGGCATAAGAATAATTTTGTTGCCAAGACACTTCATCAGCTAGCATTTGACTAGCCATTTCAGAAGCAGGACGAAATTCTTCACTATTAAATTGAGCCATAAAATCAGCAGTTGTTGTATCAAATGATATTGTGTTCAAATTTTTACTTGATGATGATGATGATAAACATTTCACTGAATTTCTACTTAATCCAGATGAACGTGCACTTATTTCATTTGGTTCAAAGACAACCTAAATATCACATTAAAGGAGTACATAAAAAATCATTCTGACTTCTGAAAAAAATTCATACTTACATTATTTGTTTTATTAGTAGCTGAATGTGAAGTATTTTCATTTTGAAGATTAACTTGATTGGAACATACAGATTGACCTGAATTAATCAGTACTGAAGAAGTAATATTATCTGATAAGTTTTGACTATTTGCATTATTTTCCTTGTTTGTATCTGCAAGGATTATAAAGTATATTCATTAATTGTCAATAAATCTAGAATTATACACATAAAACTAGTTTTTACCATATATACTAGATGTAGTTTTTAAATCACTACATCTCTGAAGTAGTTTTCTAGCAAGTTCACGTTCTGTATCTAGTTTACTCTCACTTTGCTTATCTATTTCCGCCATTCCACTTACTTCAGCTAAAACTACAAAGACTTATCATTTAAAGCTATCATCATTATGATTTATGTAAATCATAATAGAAGACTTACAGGAAGATATATTGTTAAGTATACCAAGAGAAGATTCATCAAATTTCTTTATCACGTCATTTTTGTGTATAACAGGCTGCTTATAAACAGCTTCATTAATACCTTTTTCAAGAACCTTACTTTCCAGTCTAAAAAAATGAATTTTTTCTTAACAGTGCTTTATTACTACTTAGATTATATCATATTATTTAAAGTATATTAAACATGTAATTTAGAGACAGAATAAACTTACGTGCTTTTTCTTTGTACAGTTGAAGTTGCTTGTGGTTGCGGAGTATTTAAGACGGTCACATCAATAAAATCTGCCTCTGTTGGTTTTGATGGTGTAAACATTATTAAAATTTTTCTTTATCTATCGTTGGACCACGATGACCAATAATCTTCTATGAAAATAACTTGTATACAGAAGATTTTACGTGGTTTATTAATCGCTAAATCGATGAAACAAAGAGAAAAGTGTACCATATTACTCTCAACGTATTGTTTGACAGTTGATCGATTTTAACGTTTAAATTTGAAAGTATTCTTTAGACCCTAATCATAGAATACAAAACTTTTACTATAACGAATGAACAACTCGAATGATGAACAGAATAGAACTGCCATCTGGTTTAAATAACAGTGAAGTAACGCCATGTGCGTCGTCGTCAGAAAGTACTAATAGCATGCGTGACAATGCTGTAGAAAATTCATGAAGGATATTAATTTACCATGATAGAGATGTTAAAAAAAAAAATGTTTACATTAATTATGTACCGATAAAAGTGATAATAATAAGTAAATGTTGACTCATTCTAATAGAATTAAGTTATATTTTTAAACCTTTTAAAATTACAACAAATGTTGTAACATATTGACAATACATTATATGAAAAGGTAATGATAAAAATGGAAAAAAAGAAATTAAATTATGAGAATAAACTTATATTAGCACCTATGGTACGAATTGGTACTTTGCCTATGCGACTTCTTGCACTTGATTATGGTGCTGATATAGTATATACGGAGGAATTAATAGACTGGAAATTATTACGTTCATTTCGTCGTAAGAACGGTAAGAAAATGTTAGTATTACAATATTGTTAAAAAATAATTTAATTTAAAAATTGAAAGAAGTTACTTTAATAAATTTTTTTTTAGATGTTTTAGGAACAATTGATTATATTGATAAAACAGATGGTACAGTAACTTTCCGAACTTGTGCTAAAGAAAAAGATAAAGTAGTTCTACAAATTGGTACTTGCGATGCAGCTAGAGCATTGAGAGTAGCTAAGATGGTAGAACAAGATATTGCTGGAATTGATCTAAATATGGGTTGCCCTAAACTGTTTTCTTTAATAGGAAAAATGGGAGCAGCTCTCCTAAAAGAACCAGAAATAGCTACAAACATTTTAAAAACTTTAGTAAATAATCTGAACATTCCAGTAACTTGTAAAATTCGTGTATTATCAGATTTGGATAAGACTTTAGAACTTTGTGAACTTCTACAATCAACTGGTATATCAGCAATTGCAGTCCATGGCCGAACTGTTAATGAAAGACCACAGCATATGAACCGTAATGAGGTTCTAAAGAAAATTGCTGACAAACTTACCATACCAGTTATAGCAAATGGAGGCTCAAAAGAAATACAGAAATATTCTGATATTTTCAAGTGATACTTCAGTTAAATTCTACCTTTAAAACATTTATATAGTATTTGTTTATATAGTTTGAAGGTAATTATAATTGTTTGCAGATTTAAGGAAATAACTGGATGCAGTAGTGTGATGCTTGCACGTGCAGCTGAATGGAACTGTTCAATATTTAGTAAAGATGGTTTACTTCCCATGAATGATGTGATAAAATCATATTTAAAATATGCAGTGGATTATGACAATTTACCTTCCAATACCAAATACTGTATACAAAATATTCTTAGAGAACAGCAAGAATCAACATTAGGAAAAAAGTTCCTTGGCACTCAAACTTTAGAACAAATGTGGTATGAACTGTATTAGTATCAAAATAATATGGCCACATATTATGTAATTAATAAATATCTTATTTTAGCAATTTATGGGACTTAAGCGATTATTGTTGTTTAAAACAAAAGGAATTTGAAGATAAAGGTTTATTAGGGAGATCTCAAGTTTCACCTATGAGAGAAGATGAAAAACAGAATGAGGAACAATTATCTACTAAGAGAAAGATTTCTGAGGAGGAAGATGTAATTTTAATGCAATGTGCATTCTTAAGAAATAATTACATAACAGATGTTGAATTGCCAAAAACTATATTATACAAATGGACACAAACTCAAAGCAAAAATGTGCCAAATTATAATACGCAGCGAAAAGAAAAACTATTTCGATCCATCGTTACCGTTGATGGACGTAGATATGGATCCTCCTTTTGGTAACAGAAAAAATTAAATACTATGATATGTGTTCTTATTTTATTAATTTAAATTGTATTTTAAATCATTATAGGGAAAAAAATAAAAAATGGGCAGAGCAAGGTGCCGCTTTAGCTTGCCTCTTTTCTTTAGGCCTAGTCAGTAAAAAAACTTTTACTACGAACAGTGATGTTTCTTCTTGACAGTGAATAAAGAAGGAATAGAAATAATCAAAAACATTAAATAAATTTCCTTTTATAAATATAGTTTACACTAATTTATATTTTTTTTATTAGTTTGGTTATTAATAAAAAAACATTTTTCTGATCTAAGATGTTTTTACTTTACCTAGCACCATCATAATAACGTATATGAATTTTCATTTTAAAATATTGATATATTATAATTATATTAAAATATTCTTATTGAAATTACAAAATAAAAATATGCAAATATTAGCAAAACAACTAGATTGGTGAGTGGTTATAATTCGAAAACACGATACAGACAATGCTTTTTGGTTAAAATTCAGTAAGTACAGTTAATAAAATAGGAATATAATTATTTATATACTTAAGAATTGTATCACAATATTTTTTCATCTACCTATTTATTACCTAGTATCTAGTATTTAGTGCACAAGAATTTATACAAGATGTTATATCTGTGCTATATTTTGTCTATGGTTAACCATTTTTTCTATCGTGTATACACTCTACAGTTTCTGTCCTCTATTATCGAAACGAGCAAATAAGTAGTAGATATGATTACACTTTTGCAACATAAAGTTATTAATTTCTAGAAGTTATTAATTTCAGTTTAAATTATAAATAAATTAAAGAAATTTATCTAATAATATTGAACAAAATTATTTATAATTTGACAATTAAATTGCCGTTTAACAATGGGTCCGCCAAAACGGTTCAAAAAAGATAATGGTATAAATTTATATATATTCTTTATTTGATTAAAAACTTTTACTATTTTTATGTATTAAAAATGATGTATTTTTATTGTTTTCACCATATCTTTCATAAATTAAAATTTAAAATGATTTATTATAAATATGAACAAGAGCAAAATTATTTAATATCACATTGCAAGCTATTATTTATTTTTATAGACAGAGGTAAATGGAAAAAGCGTAAGGAAGATCCAGAAGAATATAATGATGATGATTCTTTAGATGATAATGAAACTGAGGGTATACCTGATGCAGCCAAAAATGATGTTGAAAAACAAGATGATACAGCATTGGAAGATGAATTTGGTGCAAAGGATTATCGTTCACAGATGATTTTAAAGCCTGACTGTACTTTAAGACCACTCTGGGTGGTAGGATATAAATACTAATTAATCTTTTATAATCTTATTTCTCAAATATTAGCATTATTTTGTTATTTAAGACTTTTTTAGGCACCAAATGGGCATATTTTTTTGGAATCATTTTCACCTGTGTACAAACATGCTCATGATTTCCTAATTGCTATCTCAGAACCTGTTTGTCGCCCAGAACATATTCATGAAGTAAATATATAATTATAAATATTAATTTTTAGTCATATACAATTTATAGAAATTTTGTATTTTTTTATTTTTAGTATAAATTGACTGCTTATTCTTTGTATGCTGCAGTCAGTGTTGGTCTTCAAACACACGATATAATAGAATACTTAAAAAGACTTAGTAAAACTAGCATTCCTGATGGTATAATAGAATTTATAAAATTGTGTACATTATCATATGGTAAAGTGAAATTAGTATTAAAGCACAATAAGTATTTTGTTGAATCTCCATATCCGGAAGTATTGCAGAAACTACTAAAGGACCCTGTAATTCAAGAATGTAGATTAAAAAAGAATGTAGAAGATGAGAAAGATGAAATAATTACAAATGTCCAAAACAAAACAAAGGCACCACAGGTAGTAATATATTTGTATTAATGATGTGATTGATAAAATACAGTAACAATAATTTCTATTGTTCCTAGTTTGGAGCCAAGGGAATGACCAGTGTACCAACTGGAACCACGAAAGTGACAGAAATAACTAATGATCAAGTTCCAGCAGAAACAGCTACTGTTCCTGAAGATATAACTACCTTTTATGATAAAATGGATAAAGAAGATGAGGATGAAGAAGAAGAACACGAATTAAAGACAGTTAGTTTTGAAGTAAATCAGGTACAATATTTCACTTTTAATTTACAAACAATATGTTTATAAACCTTATTGAATATTTATAAAAAATGTTGTTACAGGAAAAAATTGAAGTTATACAAAAGAGATGTATAGAATTGGAGTATCCTTTATTAGCAGAATACGACTTTCGTAATGATACCGTAAATCCAGATATAAAGTATAATAGAATAGTATAGCAGAATTGTGTGCAACATGAAGTATACAAAATATCTGAAAAATTAATAAATTATATTTTAGCATTGACTTGAAACCATCAGCTGTGCTGAGACCTTATCAGGAAAAGAGTTTAAGAAAAATGTTTGGAAATGGACGTGCTAGATCAGGTGTCATAGTTTTGCCTTGCGGTGCTGGTAAAAGTTTAGTTGGAGTAACAGCTTGTTGCACAGTTCGGAAACGTGCATTAGTATTATGTAATTCTGGAGTGTCGGTAGAACAGTGGAAACAGCAATTTAAGATGTGGTCAACTGCGGACGACTCAATGATTTGTCGATTTACAAGTGAAGCAAAAGACAAGCCTATGGGGTGTGGAATATTAATTACAACATATTCTATGATTACTCACACTCAGAAACGTTCATGGGAAGCAGAACAAACTATGCGATGGCTTCAAGAACAAGAATGGGGAATCATGGTTTTAGATGGTAATAGAAATTTTTGTTAGAATGAATTATATTATTGAATTACTTAATATATATTGTATTTTTAGAGGTACATACAATTCCTGCAAAAATGTTCAGAAGAGTCTTAACAATCGTTCAGTCTCATTGTAAATTGGGATTGACTGCAACATTACTTCGTGAAGATGACAAAATTGCTGATCTCAATTTTCTGATTGGACCAAAATTGTATGAAGCCAACTGGTTAGAATTACAAAAAAGGGGCTTTATTGCAAGAGTACAATGTGCCGAAGTTTGGTGTCCTATGACACCAGAATTTTATAGAGAATATCTTGGTTGTAAAATGAGTAAAAAATTGGTAGGTAATTATATTAATTTAATTTAATATAATATGATGTTTAACAATTTAACGATTTTTAAACGTTATTCTATTTACAGTTACTTTATGTAATGAATCCAAACAAATTTCGTTGTTGTCAATATTTAATACGATATCACGAAAGGCGTGGCGATAAAACTATTGTTTTCTCAGATAACGTTTTCGCTTTGAAGCATTATGCCATTAAAATGAATAAGCCATATATCTATGGTCCAACTAGTCAAGTATGTAGAAATAAAAATCATATCAATCAAAAGATGTTAGATAATGGTATATTTATTAACTAATTTCAGAGTGAACGAATACAAATTTTGCAAAATTTCAAATTCAATACTAAAGTAAATACTATATTTGTGAGTAAAGTGGCAGATACTTCTTTTGATTTACCGGAAGCTAATGTTTTAATTCAAATATCTTCGCATGGTGGTTCACGACGTCAAGAAGCACAACGTTTAGGACGAATTTTGAGAGCTAAAAAAGGTATGATTCTAAACATTATATAATATAGAATGAATTAAGTATATGAAATATTGTTTCCTTTTTATAGGTGCTATTGCAGAGGAATACAATGCATTCTTCTATACGTTGGTATCACAAGATACGATGGAAATGAATTATTCGAGAAAGCGCCAGCGTTTTCTTGTGAATCAGGGATACGCTTATAAAGTCATTACAAAACTCGCAGGAATGGAAGAGGTGCGTATTAATCGATAACAATTGAATAAAGATTTTTTAAACTTATTTTATATTTTATTTCTTCAACTACTAAAATAGGAACCAGATTTGATGTATTCATCTCGAGAAGAACAGGGCCATTTGTTACAACAAGTTTTATCTGCGAGTGATATGGATGCGGATGAGGAAAGGATACCCGGAGAAGGGCCAAGACCCGTAAGTTTCATAATATTAATATCATTAAAAAATATACCTTTTGTATTATATTACTACACTTAAATTATTATTTCAGATTATACGTAAAGCCGGAAACATGACTTCAATGTCTGGTGCAGATGATGCAGTTTATTATGAATATAAAAAAGCTCCCAGTTCATCTACGGCAAACAAACATCCACTGTTTAAAAAATTTAGAACATAGAAGTTTTTAACTGCGTGTATTCTATATACATATAAGAGTAGTTAAAATTTATCATTATTTACATAATTTATTAAAATGTGTTTATATGTTTATACATTATACTTTTCCAGCATCGATTTTTTTTAATTGATTTTAACTGTATAGAGAAATTATAATTCACATATGCATTTTATGTATTCGTTTTTAAATCGTATTTTATAAAAAATGGCAATCAATAATTCATGCTGTGTATAACATACAGTTCATTGTTCTCTATTCTTTGTATACTCAAAATGTCTATTTGTACGATTTACGTGGCAGCAATAAAATTTACGTCAATGTAAACTACGTGATGGATAGTTTACTTGAGTAATGCGATAAAGATATTCCTGATAAATTTGTTGGTTTCGGCCGATAATCGTGGCACACCTATAATGTGTTAGACATTATATTTACTCCAAGATACTTAACTATCTAAAGAATACAAGGACCTTAAACTTATATACATATTTTTCATGTCTATATTAAATAAAAAAATCGAAGTACCTAAAATGTTAATATAAAGCATAATAAAAAAAATTAATTTCGAAATATTAAATTGTTTTTTCAACCTGGTTGTATTATTTATTTATCGTGTGTAGCTTTCTCTTTGATCCATTGACCAATATTTAATCGAATTTAATATTTATAAAATACTCATAAAAAGTTAAATATATAAAGTACGACAATATCTTAAATAATAGAAATTTCTTTTTTTATTAACCAACGAGTTATCTCATCCGGATTAGAACATCGATATCATGTGATAACGATACACATAAATTTCAAATTTTTCATAAAAATGGTGTACGAGATACGCTGAACGTCAGTTGGCTGTCATCACGCGTACACTCTGAACTTAGTAGAGAATCAGCAGTGCAAGCTGCCGGCTGTCACATGCAACCAGTTACCCCGTCGACGCTTGACGGTGCGTCATAGTAAGGTGTGTTATAAGGTGTGTTCGAGTGTGTGAATTGCTGCTGTGTTTCCCTTTTGTCTTTATTATTCATTTTTCTGTTCATAATGGTTCGCATCGATCAACAGAAGTTTGGTTATCGACATGGCATGCATTAGCACGCGATGGCAGTGCCGTAGTTGCAGTCGAAACAGAACAGGGCAAGGCCGCGTAGGCGCATCGTTATGAAAGGAAGCAGTCGTCCGTGAACACAAACTGAACGTCCTGCCTTGACGTTATACATGTTGCATTAGAAAGATCGGTGAACCTAGGTTACTGAACATGCGTGACAAACGTTAAAAGTAGCAGTTATCAGAAGACGTTGCGAAATCACAGTAAAAGACAAGAAAACGATGCATTTATTCTGGACGTTATTCAGGGAATAGAAGGTGACTATCGTTGGAGGACTATCGAGGGCAAAACACGACAAATTCAAGGGATATTTTTCGATTATCGTTGTGCCATATTACGTACCTACGTTGGTGCACGAGAGGGGCGAAGTTCAATGCATCGGTGAAAATTCGGGAAGATCGTTGGTTGTACGTGGTGACAAAGAGGGTGCTTCGGTATCAGTTATTGTGAATAAGAGGGCGATCCTTGTCGTAGTGGAAAGTGAAAGAGAAAGAGAGAGGGGGGGTGGGGGATAGAAAGAGGAAGAGAAAGAGAGTGCGGTGTAGAAAGTTGGTACACGGCCGTCGGCACAGCGTACCGGCGTTTTCGAGTGCTCGTAGCCGTGGACACGGCTACGCAGCCATCCTATAAACCGCGCGGGGGAAGCTAGTGCGTGAATGTATTGGAAGCGGTGGCCACGTCTTCATCGTCATCGTCGTCGTCGTCGTCGTTGTGATCGCCGTGAAAACGGTGTTACGCCGTGGAAGTTGGCAAAAACGCTACATCATCGATGGCCCGCGCGATATTTCGACGGCATTCGTGATCGCGGCAAGACGGGATCTTCGTCGAGGATGCCGCGAATATCGTTTACACGTCCCAGGAGGATGGCAGGCTTTCAGATCATCGCTCGGATCGATAGGCACGAAAGAATCGAATAATCACGACGGAACGAAGGAGGACACCAAAGCGGTGAGGCGAGCCAGGAGCCCCGGAGGTTAGGGCCTCCGAGTGACGAGGATCCTTGTTCGAAGATGAACTCCATGATATATACCCTTTACGGGTTTGCAATATTTTTCATGATATTCTGGTCGGTAATGTGGATCATTCACGCATTGGCACTGATTGCTGGTCACTGGAAGCTGCACCGGAAAGTCACTCAAGTACCAACCTACGAAACGCCCTTACCCGGTGTGTCAATCATAAAGCCATTGATGGGCGTTGATCCCAATCTGTTTAGCAACTTAGAGACATTTTTCACCATGCAGTATCCTCGTTACGAGCTATTATTCTGTGTGGAAGACGATTCAGATCCTGTGTTGATGTTAGTGCGTAAACTGATCGAGAAATATCCGAAAGTAGACGCAAGACTTTTTATCGGTGGTTGCAACGTAGGTGTGAATCCAAAGATCAACAATATGCAACCAGCATACGAGGCGGCCAAGCACGAGTTTGTGTTGATCAGTGACAGTGGTATCAAGATGAAAGAGGACACGCTCTTGGACATGGTTAATTACATGACTGACAATGTTGCGTTGGTACATCAGATGCCGTTTACCTGTGATCGTGAAGGTTTTGCCGCAGCATATGAGAAAATATTCTTCGGTACCGTACTCTCGCGTATATACCTTACCGCCGATTTGCTCAGGATAAACTGTCATACCGGTATGTCGGCATTATTGAGAAAGGCAGCACTCGACGAGGTCGGCGGATTAAAAACGTTCGGTGTGTATTTAGCCGAAGATTTTTTCTATGCAAAGTCGTTGACCGATCGTGGTTGGCGCATTACAGTATCCTCGCAGCCGGCATTGCAAAATAGCGGTCACTGCGAGCTGCATTCATTCCAGGCGAGGTTACGAAGGTGGGTAAAGCTCAGAGTGGCTATGTTACCTACTACAATCGTCCTGGAACCGCTTAGCGAGTGTTTAGTGTTAGGTGCCTGTGCTTCCTGGGCGGCTAGCGTGCTCTTCGAGTGGGTGCTACTTAGCGTCGTGCAGAACGGTCCGCTACCGTTCAACAAGTTAGAATTCGTGTGCGGATGGTTACTTAGCGAGATCACTAGGCCTTATCTTTTCATTCAGGCAGTTCTAGATCCTCTGATACAGTGGCGGTCGCGCATCTACAAACTCAGGTGGGGTGGAGTCGCGGAAGAGGTTAAGACAAAAGTCAAATATTGAAGCACTATGAAAAACAAGCGTTTATCATTTTCTTTTCTTTTTTTTTCTTTTAACCTCCTTTCTTTCTCTCTTCTTTTCTTTCCCT